CATATCTAGTCCACTGAGTTATTGCATTTACTATTGAATATTAAGTGCTTATGGATGCTATATATGCTTAGATGCGTATCTCTCATAATTATTAAAAAGGAATTTTAAATTTTTGTGGGATTTTTTTTAATATCCAATACAATCATTCTAAAAAAAAAATAAAACCAAGTGTATATCATGCAATATAAAAGACAATGTCTAACCTTGCGTCTAATTCGCCTTTTAATCTAATTTTAATGTAGTATTATACAATTGTATTCAATAGAATCTTTGTAGTGGACGTACACGCAAGCCTATAAAAGATCAAAATATCTTCTCGACGTTTCGAGCAAAGGCCCTTCGTCAGGAGCGACGCTGAACAACCACAAGACTTATGTATTTAATAAAGTTCCTTTTATTTTTAATATCCAATACTATCATTCTCAACAAATATAAAATCAAGTATATCAAAGGCAATATAAGACTTTGTCTCACCTTGCGTGTATATAAAATCACCCTCGCAGTTTTAATAGAATTATTATATGTCCTCCTGCCTTTCGTCCACAGTTTGTACCGTCGGATAAACGCTAACCCCAATTTCATCCCTCATTAGTCGAGGAAATGTGCGTTCTTTAGCCCCGACATATTCAGAGTGTACAAAAAGTCATCCGCCTTGAAATGCATGTCTTTGTGCAAACATGCCTTTGACAATTGATGAGACGGCTCCGATCTGGCTCGCTTCAATTTATCCAAATCTATCCAATGTTTCCTTCTCCTTAATGACTGCAGCCGAAAATCCCCATAATATGGTATTGGATGTAGAGCTATTTGATTTGCAGCATCTGTTGTGTTAGAACAATCGTATTCAACATATCTAACAGGCATTTCGAAGCGCAAAGTATACAAATTTTCATTGCACACAATAGATATTTATTGTAATACAACACGAGTCGATTCACTTCCGTCCCCGGTGTGACATCACAAACCTGATTCGTACTCAGCCTCTTTTCTCCCGGCCATGTCTTGAAAAACCCTATTTTTTTGCATGTTTGATCTAAATTATCTCTGAAAGTATTTATCCGATCAAGGAATGATATATATCATTCGAATTGTCTAATTTTTGCTGATTTTTGGTGAAAAAATGGTATTAATGTCATATGCACTTTAAGGCTACAGAACGTTCACCTATAACTATGTGTTTTGCGTGCATTTTACAGTTTATAGAAATGCAAGATCAAAATAGGCTTCTGGAAAGTCAAACTTTAAGTTTACAACAACGGCTTAACAACTTATTGGTATGTATATAGATGATTTTCTGTTTTGTTTTGTTTTTCTTGCAATCTGATAGAAAACACATTTCTTGGCCAACATGGTGCACATAACCTACATTATATACTACACATTTGTTCCTTCGACGCAGGGATCAATATAACGGTCGGCCACCGGCCATTAGCCGAGCAAAATGCTGATATGACCGTCTACTCATTACTCTGCACGGACATCATTATGGCCGACCGTTTTGTCTCATTAATTTGAATATTTCTTCCTTTATTGTTGCAAATCTTTTTAACAAAACAAAGATTCCGTCTGCTAGACAACCACAGAATCTGACTTCGTCACGATCCACAGAATCGTATGTTAAGAAAAATATTTTATGTTATATATACTGTTACTGAGTAAGTTGTCGTTGATATTGTGTAATTTTGTTAACCATTATGCATATGCATATGATTTTAGATTTTGGTAGTTATTACGCCGTTTTGGTTTATAGTACTGTGACAACTGACAACGTCCCTCTTGAGAATAATTAAGTGTCCGATTATGTCCGACCAAAACATGGATTGGTCTGACATTGGGTTGGTCAGAATTATATTGAATTCTGCTTCGACGTATTCTCCTGTTTAAAAATAAAGTAGATTTAGCAATACTGAGAATAATTTTTATGCACTTAATTTAAAAATCAAAGAAAGTGCGTTCCGTAAAGCTTGTTTTCCATTCCAACCTTATCGAATATCGTAATGAAACGTAGCGTATTTCGTGAACACTCGGGCAGAGTTTTATTGATAAAAGAGGAAAATGCATGTATGCTGCGGAAAACTGCGGTACGTCAGCAAAGCTTTCGAATTTTTCTAATTTATCAGTCAATTTATTGTACAAATGAACGAAGAAATGATCCTGTGTATGTGGGATAATCCTAATACTCGCTCAAGATTAGGTTACTACTAAAGATGAGCCGATATAAGTGAAGCCGATTGTTCAACAGAAGATATATATCCACCATCGGCCGATTAATCGGCAAAACCGATAAGTACGTACAGTAGGTAGGTAGGTTTGGTTTTCCTGATGTTTAGTGTTTTCGACTTGCATCGCTAGTTTCACTGCAGATGACCTTTCAGGTTGGTTGTTGCGAAATTCTTTTTCTGTTTTTCACCTCGAGACAACAAAGAACGCTGCTTTTACAAACCATGTAGACATTCAGCCTTCGATTCGTCTTCCCAAACAATACTTTTAGAATGAGAAGCCCTGCTAAACAAGGACGAGACAGACACCGCTGACCGATCAGATGGTGAAATACAATCGGCCGATTGTGATAAGAAATAATCGGCTCTGCCGATGTTTTGCCGATCATCGGCACATCTCTAGTTACTGCCTGGCAGATGGTGCCGAGCAGGTAGTTCAGGTTGTTCAATACCACTTGCCCTTATTTCTATACTATTAAAATAATTAAAATCAATTGGAGAGTGGGCAAGAATCCCAGTTTTTGTAAGTCTGCTTTGGCTTTTAGCGCAAGAACGAGTATCAGGCGAAACAACGCCAAGATTCAAAAACAGTAACATTTGACGAACAGGTTGCTTTGGCCACGAAACGTAACTATGATGGTAAACCAATGGACCATTTGCATTATAGACTAAATTTTGATCTAAACAAGTCTAGACATCACAGCTTGAAAGAGCATCACAAAATTAGTAATATTCCAAAGTTTCTTTGCGAAATGTTGTAAAATGCGGATAATATAGCCTTACGAAGTTTGCCGTTTTTCAGTCATTTTGCATTACGCGGGGGAAATTGACAGCCCTGTCAATTTCCCGTTTGTAATACAAAATGACTGAAAAACGGCAAACTTCGCAAGGCTATATTATCCGCATTTTACAACATTTCGCAACGAAACTCTGGAATATTAGTAATTTTGTGATGCTCTTTCAAGCTGTGATGAAATTTTTGTCTAGACTTGTTTAGGTCAAAATTTAGTCTATAATGCAAATGGTCTATTCCGCTGTATATATTTTCTGTACTGTACCAATGGGTTAACACTTTATAAGATCACCCATGGGACCCATGGGTCAACACTTTATAAGATCACCTATATGGGTCAATTAATTGATAGAGTCCAATTTCCAATGAATAACCAGTGTTGTGACCTACAGGTATGATTTTCATATAAAATATGTTATTGTACTGATCGGTACAAGGCGAGTTATATTTGTAGCCTGCAAGTGTTGCCTTTTTTATTTTTCAGATAGCTTAAAGGCTTCAGCTGCTTCAAAGGTACTGCTCTTGGAATTTTTGCCTTGAAAATTACAACCTTGAAATAAGTAAATATACTTAGAGTAGGAAATGCAATATTACAACATTTTGGATTTCCAATGCAAATTTGTAAAAAATGTTATATATTTCATGATGTAGTTCAGTGTATCAGGAATACTCGATGTTTTGTCATGTCTCTTCATATGGGTATCTGATTCTCAACTCGACTATGCTACAACACATTCCTCTGAAGAACGTGAACAAGAAGGAAAAACTAATTTTAGTGAAGCTGTGTATGGAAAATGTGTCAAGGTAGGAACTTTCTGGTCAGTTTAGGTTTTTCGCGATTGGTTATTATCTTTTCACGTGACCACCTTTGTATCTATATATAGACAAGCAGATTGCTAAATCTGTTTCTTTCTTGCTAGTATAAGCTCTCCTCGTGGTTCATAAAGGACATTCGCCTTTATGAATTAAGACATTCAACGTTTTTCAAGCTAACCAGAATCAACAACAACTGCATGAGTCCTATATCTTTTATCATGATCGATGGAATTTTGAATCAGATTAATTATTTTTAAATTCAGTCTTTTAAATGTCTGGATAAAAATCACAATGTTTAAGATATGCAATAGGTTTGATCGGCATGCATCCTTTGACAGTTTAAAGCTCGTATTCAATCAAATATACTTTTTCGATAATTACGTCACAAGTATTTCCTTCTTAGTCATGAGTAAGACGAAGGCGATTCGCTCGTGAGAGCATAGACAATCCAGAAGACATTCTGGATTGTCTTCTGGATTGTCTATGGTGAGAGTTCCTAGGCCAAGGGAGATTTGTGACGTGATTATCAAAAGGGTGTACTGAATTTCAGGTGCTTTTTCACACTTTCGGATGTAGAAATTTAACTCATTGAGCGCCAGCGCTCTCCCTTTGACGAGTCAAATCGTCTGGCGTTAGAGTAAAATAATAAAGAAGGGCGTATTAGGTAAGATGTGACGTTACACGGATTATAATAAATTTAACGACGTTTAATTTTTAACGTGACATTTATATTTCTAGATTTTGCCACCTTTAGCCGATCTTCTTTCATATCTTCCTGCTGTAAATCCAAATGTTATGTATCCACTATTGAAATTTATATATTCAGTGATTTTATACATGGAACATTCACCTCGAGGAACACAGGTAACCAATCTACGCCATGTTTTCCTGATAATACTGTATATTTCTTTTGCGTACATGCACTTATTCTAAAAATTATAAAAATTGTTTTTGCTCCCACAATTTAGCGTGCTAGCACCTAAAATTGGACACATCATCATAAAAGCAATTTTGTTGGGAAATGAATTCTTCGTATTTCATTCTATAGAAATCAGTACTCGTATCAACATTACGTAGAATTGGAGAGGAATTGTACAAACCTGAGGTAATAACTTGCTTAATGAAAAATTCTGGTTGTTCGTCTAATTAATCTCTCTCGAGCCTTATAACATGGATAGTCCCTTAAAGTTGCAGATCTGTTTAGGTAGCAGCCAGCAGGTTGCTGTAAGCATGATAGACCTAGCCTGCGAACAGGCTCTCAAGCTGAATTGAGAGCCTGCATCGATGACTAATGAATTTGAATATCTGCGTCTCAAATCGTGACGCGAAATTCTCATTGGTCAGATGCTATAATTACACTGGCCTGTAGGCCAAGTGTCTTAAATCCCTCTTTTTCTGTTTTTTTCGTAGTCGAGAAATCGAGTTTGCGTTAGCGCATCGCAGGCTCAAGGTGCAACGATTAAGCCAAAATGCCATCGATTCCCTCCGTTCCATGATTCAAATGCAATAGCAACAAGTTACGTATTTATGTACGTACTAGCCGACTCATGCCATGCTTGTGGTACATTTTTCGTTTATTAGCCTATACACT